TAATGTTGCATTTTAATAAATTCATATATGGTTTATATTTATTAAATCATTATTTGTAATGTTGCATTTTAATAAATGCATTGTATGGTTATATTGTAATGTTGCATAATGCATTATATGTTCATATTATATTTTACATTGTATGGTTATATTATTAAATCATTATTTGTAATGTTGCATTTTTAAACTAAAATGCATTGTATAGTTTAAATCACCTACATGTTATATTAATAGGATTATAACAGTAGAAGTATTAACTTTTAAATATGATAACCTTTAATAGCTTATAGATTTTAGATATTTTACTATAGTTAATATACTATAATAGCCTATTTAACCTAGTCTAATAGAATAAGGGTACTTAAGAATCTTCTTATAGCGCTTATATATAACCTTTAATACGCTATCTATAATCTAAGTAATTTAGTAGAACTTACTCTAAAGAGTAGACTAGCGGGCTATATCCTAATAGATCTTACTTTTCCTCCTATAATTAGTTTATAGCTACTACTTAACCTATTTAATATATTCTACTATATTATAAAGAAAAAACGCTTTTCTCCGGTCTAGTCTAATATAGGTAAGAGAGAGAGCAAGAGATAGAGGGTAATCTAGTCGAAGAAAATTATAGTAAAAGTTAGATAGTATAACTTAACTACTAGATAGAGTTACTAGATAATTAAATAGTATAAGGTAGGATAAATTACCTATATCTCTATTATAAATTAAGGATAGAAAGTTAGAGTACTAGCTTTAAGATATAATAGGGCTTTTAATAGGATTAGAGATATAAAAAAGGTAAGGGGGGGGGGGGGAATACCTATAATATTAGATAGACTAGCTTAGATAAAATTATTAAGTAGAAGAGAAAAGGAGGTATATTAAAAGGAATATACTAAGATAGTTATTAATTAGTTAGATTATAGATATTTATATAGGTCTAACCTAATTAGACCTAAGAGAACCTAATTAGACCTAATAAATACCTAAAAGAACCTAAGAAAACCTAATTCCTACCCTAATTCCTTCTAGAGATCCTTAAAAATATTTCGTATAGGTAGAGTAGGATATACTTTATCTTAGTAGTCTTACTAGGTTAGCTAAATAGCTATTATAATAGATAAATATACCTAAATAGAGAAGACTAGCTTTCATTTTATATAGAAATTTAATGATTTAGAGTAGAAATTAATATATTTATATTTATATTTCCTCTTATTAAAAAAATACTACCACTTCTATATAAGTTAAATATATATTTCTCTATATTCTTAATAATATTTTTCCTATTTTAGGCAAATAGTACTATAAGAAATAAATCTATAATTCTATAAAGTAAATAATTTAAAACTAGGCTTTCTCACTTCTATTTTATAGAGATTACTTAAAATTTCCTACTATAGTAGGTGAGGTTATTAAGAATATAGTAGGGAAACTAGAATAAGTGTAAAAAATAGTATTTTATTTCGATAACTTCGTAGGGTTATAAACGCTAAGAGCTCTATTTTATACAAAATTAGGTTTTCCTAGGGCCCTAATAGGTACCTAGTATTAGGTCTTAGGTTAGGTTAGGTTATAGAAGTCGCACCTAAAACCCATATAGGTTAGGTCTTAGGTCCAAAGTTTGGACCCAAGTTGGGTTTTAGACAAGACTATCTAAGGCTATTTTATTAATACCTTAGGACCTTTATATAACGTATCTTATATGCGAGCTGCGCACACAAGCGAGCTGCGCAGCTAAAATACTATAATAAATGCGATATGTGCTATACTCACATCTCAACAACCAACGTTTGTTTATTATTTTTTTTCAAAATGCCGATGGCCAGTGATAAGTATTTTAAGTATTATATATCAATTTTGAATAGATCGAAAGCGTGTATTGTTATGGTATCAAAAATTACATCTTTAAAGCCTCTGAATATATATATCTCAATCATCAAGTTCTTAAATTTCCTGAAACTTCCTAAAGTGACAAAATACTGTATAATAAGCATTAGTCTATAAGGAAAACCTTATATAGACATGTATTGTTAGGATATCCAGTTGTAATTTATCGCATTTAGTATGTGTATCGGACTGCGCAGCTCGCTTGTGTGCGCAGCTCGCATGTGAAATACGTTATAGAGTTCTTTTATTATTATAGGGATATAATAACTACACTTCTTAGAAGAAGTATATAGAAGATATATAGAATTAGAATCGTTATCGTTATATATATAATTCGGTAGAGAGATCTACACAAACCAGATTATCCCTATAACTTCCCCTTAGTAAGGATTAGTCTATATATAAAGAATACATTATATTCTCCTCTCTATCATTATATTACCTGCCTGACCAATAGGTACTATCCTGAAAACTAGTATTATTGACAGTTTTCCTACCGGGCGAATCCACTAATAGGGGTGGAAGTCTGCCTAGGTGAGGCTCTAACCCCTCTCCTAGGTATGGTTAATACGATAAATATATTAAATACCCCTAGTATTCACTGATTAGCCTAAATATTCCCTCTAGATAGCTAGTTTAGCTTCACTTAGTGGTATTCTATCTCGATTAATCCTCTCTTCTCTTTTCTCTTCTCTTTTCTCTTCCCTTATTTATACTTGAAATTCTGAATAAAATATACTCTTTTCTTTAAAGAACTAATAGGTAATATATAATACTCTATTTAGTAGTTAGGATATAATCTTAATCTATATATTATAGTAAGTAGTATCTAGTAAGTAATTTTAAGAATATACCTAAGAAAATTAAGGAATTCTATACTTAATACCCTTCGAAGCCTAGCCCACTATCAAAGCTAATAAAACTAGATGAAAGCGGTATAAGATAATAGTATACTATATAATTATAAGGATAAGAATAAGCCGGCATTTAGGGACTAAATATAGTTTTAGCCGGGGGGTATATAACGATCTAGTTCAAGGAGATATGATTCTACTAGATAAGACCGTCTACCTAGAAAGGAAGTTAGGTTTTTATCTAACTAGTTTGCATTATTTGCACGTGGGAGACCCTATAAGAGGTTTCGCTTCGACCAATCCTTTCCCCTTTCTTTCTTTCTTTCGTCCCTTCTTTATACTTAGTATTCTGAATGAAATGCACTCCTTTTCTCCAAACAACTGGCAGGTAATAGCCCAGGTCTCCCTCTCCGCTCCGAATACTACAAGAATGCAAACCACAACAACTGACAACCGGAAAAAGCAGGCAGAAATCCTTTAGGTCGTCACAAGGAGGGGGCGGTAGGGAGAGAGAGATGTAGACATCTACCTAAGTTAGGTCCCTGTCAGGTGGTGCGTTCGATATGCATCCTAACAAGTTAAATTGTAAATCGATGAATATACCGGAGGTTGCTGTAGACTTAATCTAAGGCAGGTGGTCTCTAGTAAGATCAAATTGATACAAGCATGAGCAGGAATTAGTAGGAAGTATTCCATGGATTTTGCGCCAGCCGGGATAGGTAGACCTTGGTATTCTCATATACCAGGAAGGTCACCCACGTGCTTGGAAGTACCCGGAACAGATTTGGACCAAGACCCTTATAAAAACCTGCGATCCCTTCTTGGGCCCATACCTGGGAAAAGACATCAATGGCCCCACGGTAGATCAGATGGGCCTCGTAAGTTTGCAACCGGGACCTAATTACTTGGTAAGGATACGTTACACTGCCAGCGAAGACTTTTGATAGACCGGAGATGGCAAAAAAATCAACATTACCCAGCACCCGTTCGGCGCCCACATGACTGCTCTCAATTGAGCCCATGGTATTCATCGACCGCAATCTGAAAAGTTTCAACTGTTCGTATGCCATAAACTGAAGGGCACCATGGCTGACGCCAAATAGGGCTGGTATGAGGCCTCGGTAGAAGCCTGGTATTCCTTCCATCTGGTATATTTGTTTTGCTCCAGAGGCAAACGAAGAATATGCCCCTGGGGCATGGGAACCCGTTGACAACATGCGAGTTTTAATCACCCAGATTGGATTGGTGAGGACCGACGTAATCACGCCTATGGAAATCCACAGGTTAATCGAGGAACGGCAAACGATGCTGAATTGGACATGATATGTGGATACCTGCACTGCCAGATGCGAGAAGATAATCAGACGATGTGAGAATCTGTTCTCTATCCTTGCGATAGATTTGAATCGTATCCTTCAAGCTGCTGTAGCATAAAAAGTACAAACCCCAGCTGGTGGAGTTTCCGATAAGATTGGGGGTAAGTCCCCGGTAGAAAGCGGCACAGCCACCCTCATGATAGAAGATCTTGCGAATGATTCGCAGTGAACCCCCAAATCGGGAAGATGATCGATCGACTAAACATACCAAAACAGAGTTAGTAACTCTAAACCCCAAGGGAACCAAGATAACATCGAAGCTTGCCTTGTAGCCTTGTTTTGACCATGTCAAGAGGATGTAGCGACAGAGTTGACACGATTCCCGCTGTGAACCCTGCTACGGTCTCCACAAAGGATGACGAGAAGCCATCTTGTCTAGTCATGAACCTGCCTTAGACGAAGATAGGAAATTCGAACACACAGAGCCAGAGACAGAGATAGAGACAAGGAAGATTGTGTATGGAGAACGTTGACAGAGAAGGGGAGGGAAGATAAAGAGAGAAGACGAGATGGGGAGAATATTCCCAGAATATCAGAACATGTGACCGCCGAGTAACTCCGTACATACTAGCCCTCCAGGGCTGCACTATAACATACCAACGTCCAGAATTTCTTTTTTAGATTTCTTTATACAAAGATCAGCTGTTTATTCCGAATTATTACAGGGTTACAGCATTTCCGTACCAAAGCGGAAAAATATTCGGCCAAAGACTTAAAAATACAAAATCATCCAGCTTTCACAAGCTTCAAGAAGTGATATCCAGATATTGAAACCCATCATCCCTCACGGAGAGACTAATCGAAAGGTTGTTCAAGAATATACTGGACCATATCCATCCCATCCATATATCCCGTATCATTTCTCCAGTCAACGCGTAGTTTACGCAAGAGGCGAGAACAATCTAGGTATCAGGTTAGTCATAACAGCTAGAATCCAAGGAGTTGAAGCGTACCTGAACAATGTTGGCTTGGGCTCGCTATAGGTGTAGCCTGTTTTTTTGGGGGTTTTGTTAACTTATTGTGTTGAGAACGCCAAAGAGGTATATACATACCCAGATAGACAATCAGAGGCAAGTATCCGCTAGATGGTTATCGCCGGTCAGCTCGGAGGATGGCATGAAGGTGCTATGAGGCTCACTAGTGAATTGCAACCCGAGAAATATCAATGACCTTTGAGACGCGCTCCTAAATAGAATAAAAAGAGAGAGTTAGAAACCCGGTCTCAAGGAGGATCGGGGGTTGCAACTAACCTTGGTCTCCTCGGAGAATTGAACCATTCTGAGTTTATGAAAGTGAATTTGGGAAGGGTTCCAAGGAGATCAACAAGAAGATAATTTGAAATTGGTTCAAGATCGATTCAAGTGAATAAGTGGGAGATGTGGTTGATAGATGAAGTGGAAACAGGGAGGATTTGCGGAATCAAAAGTTTTCGGAAAAGGTCACTGATCATCCCTCAGCTCCGGCTTTCCTTCACTTCAACACTTTCACACCTCATTACCTCTCCACTTCCACTCAAATTAGTCTACTTTGTTGGTCCAAATTTACCAAGACTTTCACAGCTTATTGATTTATTTTACTTGGATCTTTGAGTCCTTCTCCTTTAGGGGGAGCTTTTTTCCCATCTCTCTCTCTCTATCCAATTAATTCACTGGCACCATGTCTAACGCAAGGCATTGGTAAGACCCTCTCTCCCCACCACAGGGTCCCGATGCTAATTTAACCTAGGGAACAAGATAAAGAGGCAACTGTGTACATCGGAAACCTTGATGAACGGGTCTCCGACAGCCTAGTATGGGAGCTGATGCTGCAGGCTGGGCGCATCGTTAACGTCCATCTGCCTAAAGACCGGGTCACGCAGTTACACCAGGGGTATGGATTTGTTGAGTTCATCAGCGAGGAAGATGCCGAATATGCATCGAAGATCATGAATGGAATCCGTCTCCATGGCAAGCCTATTCGTGTTAACAAGGCATCAGCCGATAAACAAAAGACTGTGGAAATTGGCGCAGAGCTGTTTGTGGGTAATCTTGATCCTATGGTTGCCGAGCAGGTTCTCTTTGATACATTCAGCCGGTTTGGCAATCTTGTCAATCCGCCTAAAGTGAGATCTCCCCCTAATACAAACAAGATGGACACTGTTAACAGCCTTTTTTATTTTTTATCATTACAGATTGCTCGTGATGACAACAATCTCTCTAAGGGATATGGATTTGTTTCTTTTGCCGATTTCGAATCCTCGGACGCGGCCATCTCCAATATGAATGGCCAGTACCTGATGAACAAACAGGTTTCGGTACAGTATGCATACAAGAAGGATGGGAAAGGCGAGAGACATGGCGATGAAGCGGAGCGAATGCTGGCAGCCCAGGCTCGCAAGCATAATATACAGCCACCGACCCAGCAACCTTCGCAGTTCCCTGGCGCTGCGCCAGGCGTATCAGCAACGCCTGTCATGTCGAACGGCGACAGCTCTCGACCCTTGAGCACAGCCCCGCCACAGACACCCGATCTAGGCATGAACCGGGGTATGCCGCCAGCTATGCCGCCAGCTATGCCCTACCAGAGTGCACCCCCTCCAATGCCCTACCAGAGCGTTCCCCCTCCAAACCGACATGCCCCACCTCCCGTCCCTTCACTCAATACTCCACCCCCCGGGCTCCCAGCCCGACCTCCGCCTTCCCAAGCTGGCTACGGCGGTCCACAGACCTTTTTACCACCTGGATTCAACGGTGCAGGTCAACCGCCCTTCGTCCCACAGGCTGCAGCTCCCCCTGGGTTTGGGCCGCCTGGATTTGGACCTCCAGCTGGGGCCCCTTCATTGCCACCGGGCTTCCAACAGCCCGGATACGGAAGCAGTCGGTGATTCCTGGTGGCCTTCAGTCTTGAGACCCCCTCTCCTCCCAAAAGCTATGCCCTTGTCACTATACGAGGTTTGGGGGATTTTTTTTTTTGATATGATTTGATGACCCAAGGACCAAAGCGCTGGCCCATGTGTTTGATGTTCTCCTCTTGCTTGGCTACCTCGAACGTGTTTAGTGTTTATGTGGGGTTTTTGGTGGGGGGGAGAGATCAAACTGTGCCTTGGCGCTGGCTGGCTACTGGCAGCGCTGGATGGTCATATGTAATATTAAGTGTCTATTGGACACGGACAAAACAGACAGACTTGTTGTATTTCGATAACATGTCAACTTAATAGGTTTCAATTGCCAAGGATCATTCACAGACACAAGAAATGCACCGACCAAAGTGGTAAACCGTAGTACCCCAAGCGCTCCGACAGCACAGATGAGATATTACTGGGCAAAAGCCGTGATCTCTATTTGTACGGGTTCTGCTAGCGAGATGTCCGCTCGGACAATGGCCAAGAAAGCACGCTAGGACTGGTGATATGATTGTAGGCGAATCACGAAAATGAGACGAATTTGGGGTCCCTCGGCCGGCCGTCAGGTCCGATGTTATTCTTTGCAAACCGTTGCTCCGTGTAGATCCGCCGTGCTTCATCGAAATTGACCTTTCGACTCTTCATAATCTTCATCACTTCGGACTTTGCTCGTTGATCCAAGCCAGCCCTCGAATCCCCGTCTGCAAGATTGGCAGTAATGTCGAATTGTGACGAGCTCAGGCCGGCCTCGAGATCGGCGGTAAAACTTGAGGGAAGGCGATGATAGAGATAATCAGGCACTTGGACTAACGGGATCCATCGTGACCGAGTGAGGTATAACGCTACAGTGCAATTAGACCCAAATTCGTTATGAATGATTGCTTTGTTTCCTTTGGAGTTGGAAAGACACTTGACTTACCTGTCCCGCCGATGATAACTGAAAAGAGTAGGAAATAAAAGAGAATGTAGGTCATGATGATGAGTGGTACCGGTGAAGATTCCGGCGTGGAGTTGTAACTTAGTATAGAGCTTTGCGATATTGCAGTGTAAGGAGAAGTTAGCACTCCTGAGAGTATATCGCCAAAGAAGAACTAAGAGATGACGTGTCCCATCAGGCAATTAGCCGTTGATGAAGAAGGCATAGGAAGATTAGAGTGGTTGTCACTAGAGAGGAGAGTTTTGGAGGGGGCAACGTCAGCATCGCCGTTCATATTATTGGCAGCCTGGAGGTCGCCGGAAGCTCTCAGTTCTGCCTTGCTGAACGGGCAACGAGGAATCCAGGCATTAAGGCACTAAGGCACACAGACACTCAGGCATACATAAATCAAGGCATCAAGGCATCAAATCTATTCCTAAAGTAGCCGCCTTAGCGAGACCCCGTCCAATCTGAGGTCTTGGCATTCGAGACACACACAATTTGATCGACGTGAAGACGGTTTTGATAGCGATTTCGATCTTTCAATTCTCCAACTCAACATCCCCTCTCATCACAATGGCCTCAAACATCTCCAACGATCTGGTCTGGCAGATCACCCGTACGTCCGACCCTCCGCATTTTTCCTATTCGAATTTTTGTCAAAGCTTCGAAACCGAACTCTAGCTCATCAATCTTTGGAATAGGCAACCAGAACTCCTTCCTGGTTAACCGCAACTCCGGCGGTGGCTCCCAGTTCTCCCGGGACCCCCTGAACCTGCTGAACAAGCACTCCTACAAGGTACGGGCCTCGGGGATTAGACGGAATAGATGATCCTCTCCGGGAATGCATGGCTAACGACGGTCTCTTTTGGCGCATTATAGTATGCCGGTTATGCCAACACCAAGGTAATTAAGCTTTACACTGCTGGTGTTTTCCTTTCTTTTCTTGAAACGAAAGATCTGTGGCGCTAACCATTTTACCTTCAGGCTGTCGGTGTCCAGGCTACTGAGAACGGTGTCGCCGTGACCACCAAGAAGCCCAGCAACCCCCAGCAGCCCGCTCAGAACCTGGTCACTGTGACTTACGGTCCCAGCACCTCCACCCGCAAGTAAGCGAAACCCGATTTCGATTTTTTTTTTTTTTTCAAGACATACGGTGTATGTTGCTTTCACGACCTAGTGCTAATCATTATCTGCTCTCCAGGATCTACAAGGGTGTTGCGGACAAGACCGCCAAGAACAGCTACCGCGCTGATCTCCGCGAGGAGGCCGTCGCCCGTGTGAGCGCCGTCCGCCGCTCGCAGCTCCCCAAGAAGGATGCTCCTGTCCGGAAGGCCCGTGGCTCCAAGGCCACCAAGGCCGAGGAGTCTGAGTAGATTTGTCTCGAGATGAGGCTACATTGTGGACCATGAAGGACCGGGGATTTGGGGAGAAGACTTGATAGGCGTATGTAAAACGCCATGCTGGACTTGGAAACCATGTATTCTAGCAGTCTTACTCCTAAGGACAGGGGAAAAAAAATCAGTCTCCTGTCTGAGACCTTCCAAAGCAAGAGAAAACAGATTTTCCGCCCAAAAAACAAGAACAATTTCCTACTACTAATCGGAACGGAAAATAAATCAGCCAAGGGTATAGTAAAATTGATTCACAACCGACTGGTCGGCCCGAGCCACAAGGTCCGGGTTGTATATGAGAATATATAGTCCGCCTTTTCCCGATATCACAACCCGGTAGTCCCGGGGAAGTGTGGAACAATCTTAAAGGGACGAGAATTGCCGGAGAAAGTCTGGAGAAAGGTCCAGAGCTTTTGCTCTGCCTTTTGGTGAAAGCATTCCTTATATAGAGAGAGATGAGAGAGACAGAGAGTATAATAGGGGATTGAAGGACCTACATTGAAAAGATATAATAATAGAAGGTAGTAAAGATATAGCAAAATAAAGTAAAATAAAGGTGAAGCAAGGTAAACAAAAGTACAGAGTAAATAAAGGTGAATTTCGTCACTTCACATGTGGAAATCCAACACTCCGTATTCCGGGGTTGCCCCTCTCAGCACTTGCCCCTCTTATAAATCGGCCGGTCCCCTCTCTAAGCTTCTCTCCTCCCCATTTCTCCCCTATCTTCTTTCTTTCTCTCTCTACACATACACACATATAATTCACCATGGTTAAAGCTGGTATGTTATTCAACTGTTTTGTCTATCATTTGCTGATTCGTTGTAGTTGTTCTCGGAGCTGCTGGTGGCATTGGCCAGGTATGTCTCCCCTCCTTTCAATACTTATGAGCCTCAGCTAATCCATCCTCTAGCCTCTCTCCCTCTTGCTCAAGGCTTGCCCTCTCGTTGATGACCTTGCCCTCTATGATGTTGTCAACACCCCCGGTGTGGCTGCAGATCTCTCTCACATCTCCTCGGTCGCCGTACGTACTCACCGAAGCATTGTGAATAAGCCTGCTAACAAATGGTCTAGAAAATCACTGGTTACCTCCCCAAGGATGATGGATTGAAGCTTGCTCTGACCGGTGCTGACGTTGTTGTCATCCCCGCCGGCATTCCCCGTTAGTAGATCCGCAGATCGGGATGTGGTGTTTTGCTAACGTCCATGGTTACATCTAGGCAAGCCTGGTATGACCCGTGACGACCTTTTCAAGGTCAATGCCGGAATTGTGAAGGGTCTCGTCGAGAACATCGCCGAGTTTGCCCCCAAGGCTTTCATCCTCGTTATCTCCAACCCTGTGAACTCCACCGTCCCCATTGCCGCCGAGGTCCTCAAGGCTGCCGGTGTCTTCGATCCCAAGCGTCTGTTCGGTGTGACAACCCTGGACGTTGTTCGTGCCGAGACCTTCACCCAGGAGTTCTCCGGCGTGAAGAATGCCGCTGACGCCACCGTTCCCGTTATTGGTGGCCACTCTGGCGAGACTATTGTTCCTCTGTTCAGCAAGGTTTCCCCCAGCTTCCAGATCCCCGCTGACCGTTACGATGCTCTTGTCAACCGTATGTGAACAGTCCTTTCCGTGGGAGGCATTTGCTGATATTTCACAGGTGTCCAATTCGGAGGTGACGAGGTCGTTAAGGCCAAGGACGGTGCTGGTTCCGCTACTCTGTCTATGGCTTTTGCCGGTTTCAGGTATGTTTCACCCACTAATCCGGAGCTACCATGGTGCTTACCAATATTAGATTCGCCGAGGCTGTCATCAAGGCTTCCAAGGGCGAGAAGGGCATTGTTGAGCCTACTTTCGTCTACCTGCCCGGTGTTGCTGGTGGTGATGAGATTGCCAAGGCTACCGGTCTTGACTTCTTCTCCACTCCCGTGGAACTCGGTGTAAGTCTTCAATTTTCCAGTGTATTAAGACAACTAACTGACAATGCTCAATCCAGCCCAACGGTGCTGAGAAGGCCATCAACATCCTTGACGGTGTGACCGAGCAGGAGAAGAAGCTCCTCGAGGCTTGCATCAAGGGACTTCAGGGCAACATCGAGAAGGGCGTTGAGTTCGCCAAGAACTCCCCACCAAAGTAAGGCCCCCCCCCCCCCCCTGTCCGTTGTGCACCATGTATATCGGGTGGGTCTCTTTGTGTCGGTAGATTTCTCGCTGGTTTCTCCACGGCTGCGATGACACCGGAAAATGGCAGAGCGTTGCTAATCAATATTCTCCCGGAAAGATAGGCTTTAAAATGTGAGACCACGAGTTTATGAACAATGAGCAGACACGAGTAGTGTACGGTCCGAAATCAGATGGGTAGGTTTGGCACACAAATATAGTATCCAACCTGCAAATGGAAAGAAGTACAGGTTTCACTGTTCATATTTGCGCGTTTTCGGTATCCTGTCTCATGTAGCCAAGAGACTTGGAACGATCAATGATCCTTGTAGTAAACTGAAGGAACTGCAAGGTCTTTTGCAAGATGGAACTGTCATAAGTCATAGAGTAGGCGTAAATTGGTTGAGTAAAAAGGCTAGCCCTAGCCCCGGCCCAGGCGCAACCATTTTAATGTTCAAGGCCGAGGCTGGAGAGTTTTGATCTGGAAAGTTGCACCTGGTAGATCCGAGGTCTCGGCCTGCACGGTCGTGTTGATACCCAAATTCGCTAACGCGCCCCGGATGATACCGCAAGGAAACCAAAGGTACTAGATCAATTTATAAGCCGAGATATCCTCATTGATTGAAAAGGTGATGCTTACTGCCTGCGCCATGGATATTGCTTCACTTCGCACCGCCATGCTCATCCTACCAAATGGCCGGAACGCGCTATCGGTCAAAACATAGACTCCCTATTTATTGGTATTAGTTTCATGGACATCGCTGCGCAAGTGCAGCTATGTCGCATCTCCCCGACACAACTGTTTCTGTATTGCACATACCCGATGGTTCGTTTTCAAATTATCCACCTGTTTCTTGAATAGGACCGTCCACAAATCCTTGCAGAGAAACTTGATCACATCTAGATTATCGGTAAATCGAGGACGGTCTCGGGCAAAGCTATAGAGATTGATACAGGTTAGCGCGCTGTAGGACTGCAAAATAAAAGCAAAGGGGCTGTGAAGGGAGATGTTCATGCTTACCGCTCCGCAAGGCCTTGCCCAACACGATAACCCAGAGACTCTAGACGAAAGAATGTCGTCTCTCTAACCTCTTCGTCTTCTGTTTCCTTTCCCTCGGTCACAAGTTCTTTTGCCATACGCTCGGCCATTGGCACCAATTCTATGAGTAGGAAGTCGAAGCATGAGGAGCTGAAGACGCGGGCATTTGGATCGGTATTTAACAGGGAAGTTGAATCGAATGACATTATGAAGAGTCAAAGGTGACCAAATCCAGGGGAGAGGCGAACGAACAAGGAATCCAGCCGATGTACGAAACGAGGGCGTGTTGATGGGAAGGACTGGAAAATGGGGGGAGTTGGGGGAGTTCGGGGAGTTGGGGAGTCTAAGCCAACTCCAGGCCGGAATGCACCTGATATTGGCCGTTTTGATATATACAAGAAAATATAAATTCTTATGTTTTTTGTGTTATTTAAAAATAAGAGTAAGAGTAATAGTCAATATATTTCCAGCTAATTAACCGGTCACAACCAGAATGATACACTTCCTAGATACATAGCCACTTGTGATATCTTAAACACTCCCCCCACCCCCGCGCCAGAAACTCCATGGAAATGTGCATCAGAAAGAGAAATGACCAATGTTTTTGGTCGTCAGCTTGATACAAACTTGGCTAGAATAAAAATCTAAATTCATGGTGGGTACGACCCGCCATTCAGAGGGCTGCTGGCAGGCGGGATATGGTACTCCTGACGAGAAAAGGCTCGGGATGGTAGACTTGAAGCTAGCCTTTTAGGAGGTGGAGCAGGGGACTCTTCATCTTCATCGCCGCTTTCAGTAAGGTCAATGACCTGAGCAATAGGTCGCTTTTTGCTGGACATGCGCATCGCAGAGGACGGGGTTGATGCCTCTCGTGACTGTGACTGTGCAGGTGTTCGCTCCAGGGCGATGTTGGTGGGCCCCGGTTCCTGTTTTACAATGGGCATCCCTGGTTCGCTGATTTCGATCAAGTCGTCGTCATCGTCATCTGACGCGGGAGTCATCCCTCCCAATTTTGTTGCGTCGGAATCAGTGGGGCTTGACCATACACCGTCGGGTTCAACGGTGACTTGGTCGATATCTGGTGACGTTGACTGAAGGATGTCATCAACGTACCTATGCGATCAGTCAGAAAAAAAAAAAAAAAAAAACCATGGCAAGGAAGGGGGTGTGGACTTACTGGTCGACTTGCAGAGACTCAAAACTAGTCGATTTGGAACACACAGGGCAGGTCCAAGTTGGAGCTTGTTTTTGCAATTCAAGGAATGAAGAGGCATCGAAGCATTGGTTGTGTGTGCAAACGATAGAGCGGCAAGGAACTTCAATGCGCAGAGTAGATAGAGGGCATTTAAGTGACATGACACTTGACGTTGCGACAATGTCTGAGTCGTTTGCGCGATTTTGCACTGGAGATCTAGATTAGCATAGTTTAATTCAAGGAAGGGAACAGGAAGGGTTCTTACTTTCGCGTAAGACTTGCTCCTTCGAGATGAGTTTCCGTGTCTTCAACTGCGAGACAAGATCATCAGTCGGATGCTGCTTCACGAGGTTGGCAAGCGCAAAGAATTTCTGTGCAAGAACGAGTTAGTCAATCGGCCTAACAGATGATCTACCAAGTAGAAACGGAATGAGCTCAACCTTTTGCGTCAATGCGTAAGTCATGACGATATTATTTGGGTAATTGGGCTTTTTGCGGATCCAGTTGGTTACATCTGCAGGTTGTGTTGTCCCCGGCCTATTTTTCAGACCTCTGAGATTGGCTTTGACTTCATCGAGATTTACTTTGAGCTCCACCTGATGTGGAAATGCGATGTCCGACTTGGTGTATTGTGTGAGGCCTGAATCACCGGCGCAATAAACCATCACTCGAAGATTTGAGTCCGTTTGCAGCCTATAGGCAACTTGCTGAGATAGCATGACCTTCAGTTCAACACTATCCCGTGTTTGTTCACGAACTGGATAAAATTAGATATAGATGTTCAACAAGGTTTCAAAAATACATAGTAACATACCTTTACATTCCACGACTGCAGTTAAAGGCTCCAGGATTGTGTAAAATGGACTTTCTTTGAAAATCAAAGGACCTGGAGATTTATGAGCGGCCGCAGGAGGTTTCATGAGAGGAGCACTCGGACCAGAGGCATATGGGTGAGGTGACATGGAAACCCCGAGCGGTGCAGATCGAGCCTGTGCAGGAGATTGAGAGACAGGCGATGGCTGGTATTGTGGTCTATTGGGTGATTGATATGGCACAGTGTTTGGGAAAGCAGTGGCACGGATGCGCCTAGCTAGAGCATCGAAACTGACAGGGTCAGATTCCGCGAGGGATTGGATTCCTATTTCGTTGGTCAGTGTACGGATTCCCGCAAGAATGGGTTGCAAAACAGAGAGTTGGAGAAAATATTGTAAAATATGCAGAGGATAGAATGAACAAGTCATGACAAGAGTCAGGGAGAATTGACGAACGTTGAATAATGCGGAACTGTAGGGTTGCCTTCAACCCGGATACCTGGAGGCCCTCATACCTCAACAAATCTTTCAGTTGTGGATTTGTGAGGGGTTTGATGAAGGCTGTCAGTGTTGCGACCTCTGACGACAGGCTGGTCGACATGACTGCTTCACAGATAAGAGAAGTGCGAAAGCAATCAAGGTGGACTTGGTTCAGGGTTCCTCGAAAGACAAGGGTCCGATTCAGCCAGGCCAATTGTAAGGGCTCTGCATCGATACATCTCTTGACTGGAGTGAAATGTGAGGGAAAGGCCACAAACCCCAGTCATAAAAGGGTGAGGTCAAGTTGACCCTCGGAGGTGAACCTTGGAAGTGCGGTCTCCGGATGACATAAGACGAGCCTATCGGAAAGAAAAAAAAGTTGATTGTGTTATCAGTAGCCATTTTATTTCCCACCCGACATCAGTTCATCAACTTTAACGTTCTTGGTCTATATCCTCAAGTCTTGATTCCTTATTTACCTCGTTTACCTCATTTTCCCCTTTCTATTTCTCTTCTATCCTCATACAATGGCGAAAAGTGTCCGAGCCAGCGTTTCTAAGCGCAACAGAGCCAATTTGCGCAAGAAGGTCTTTGGCCCACTGGTCGATGCCAGAACCGAGAGACTCGCTGCCAAACTACAGGAGCTTGCATCACAGCCACGGCCTGAGGCCCCTGTGAAATCAAAGAAGGACCTAGCCGAGGACGAGGCTGGTACGTATATTACCAAGACCTTTCAAGGATACCGACTCATCTCATATCTATTAGCCGAATCAGCCAAGGCCCAGACTGGTGACAGCGAAGGTTAGTCTATGGCAATCCAAATTTTGAATCGCACTTTTCTTTTGCTTTGAACTGCAGAACGCTTACCCGCCCAACACAGAGATGGATATCGACACAATTAAGAGCTCCAAGAAGAAGCAGGCACGTGTGCAAAAGCGCAACCAGAAGCCTCGCAACTCGATTGTTTTCCAAAAGCGTCTATCTACAGTCAAGAAGGGTCCCAAGAGAAAGTGAGGCTTGTGCCGAGTGAGGGGCAATGAATGGATTATTTGACGAGATGCTGTGGCGGAGAAGAAAAAGGCGTTTGGGAGTCCACAATTACACCTGCGATTCACGTACATATGTTTCATAGTCTGTGCCTGATATACCATACCTTTCATTAAAGGCTTGAGATATTACTTGGATTTTGCTCAGTGGAAAAAAATAACCCTAGTGTGGCCGAAGGAGTTGGTTGATATATGGGTTGCTCTAATTTCAAATCACCGACAAGCAATCCTAGTCAAGATTAATTAGCTAATTTATACCTTCATCTAGCACCGTTAACTTCTAGTTCATTAATAGAAGGGTCAATTTGTTGAAGTAAATGTTGGATGTACAATATTACAATATAGTTATAACTAACTAGTTACAAGGTACTCGAGAAGGCGGTGTGGTGATCCGCGTCGATCATAAACACGATTCTGCCTCCCTTTGGGATCCCCCCGGACAGTTCGACATGTGCAGTTGATTTGGGGTTCTTTACATAAAAGTTGTTCTGCCAGAGCTCACGCCAAGTCGATTTGCAAAATGGCGGGCTTCCGCAGCTGGACGACAGTCATTGCCAATTTGTTGTTGCCTGTGGGCATACTCACCTTCTCTTCAGGATTCTTCCCTTATAAACCGTTAATCCCTGGATTAGCGACTTTTGATGAAACAGGCGAGAATGTCACAGCACCTGCGGTCTTTGATAAAGTTATCTTCATGGTGGTCGATGCGCTAAGAAGGTATGGTTTGAATAATTCACCTCCGAGCTATACCAGTAACTCACAAGGTTCTCACATATAGCGACTTTGTATATTCGAACGACTCGGGTTTCTTGTTTACACAGAGGTTAGTGTCACTTTCGACATCCGCCACTCGATTGTTCGAAATAAATTACTGATTGGATACTAGCTTGATCCGGTCCGGTGGTGCATTGCCTTTCACTGCCCATGCGAGCGCTCCGACTGTCACAATGCCTCGATTAAAAGCCATCACAACTGGTTCAGTTCCATCCTTTCTGGATGTTATTCTCAACATCGCAGAATCAGATACCACATCAACACTGGCATACCAGGACACCTGGTTGGCGCAATTAAAGGCCACAGGAGGACGGCTTGTGATGTATGGGGACGACACCTGGCTCAAGCTCTTCCCAGGGATGTTTGATCGAGCTGATGGAACTACAAGCTTCTTCGTGTCGGTCAGTTGTACTTTAGGTGTTTGTGTATCCGCAGTATTAGTATTGAAACTGAGATTCTTCTCGCAGGACTTCACGGAAGTAGACAATAATGTGACTCGACACGTTCCTAACGAACTTGCCCAGGATGACTGGTCTGCTTTGATCATGCATTACCTGGGTCTGGATCACATAGGACATAAGGCTGGCCCGAAAAGGTAAATACAGCTCCTTATCTCATTATTAACTCTAACCTCCAACTCTCATAGTCCCTTCATGATACCGAAACAACATGAGATGGACTCTGTGGTGACTGAAATCTATACCGCAATGCAGCAACAAGACCATCTTCAATCCACGCTTTTCGTGTTGTGCGGAGATCATGGCATGAACGAGGCTGGAAACCACGGCGGGTCCTCTGCTGGGGAAACTTCCCCCGCGTTGCTTTTCATGTCACCCAAGTTTGAAGCCCTGGGTGGCCGAAGAGAAAGTCCCGTGAAACCGTCAGGCGATATGCAGTACTACCAGATGGTTGAGCAAGCGGACATTGCTCCAACCTTGGCGGGGCTTCTTGGTATCCCAATTCCTTTAAACAGTCTTGGTGTATTCATCCCCGACTTTTTAGAGATGTGGGATCATGGTATGCGCTCTGTTCCTAACCAACGGTCAAGCGAAAGATGACCAGGAACTGACTCGGAAACAGGTTCTCATAAGCTTCGAATCTTACATCAAAATGCCGAGCAGCTGCTGAACACGCTGACAACTACATTTCCTGGATCTATGTTTGGTCCCGATAGTACTACATCTTGTGCTTCAGGAGTTACATCGGGTATTGAGGCAGCTCAATGTGCTTGGGCTCGAGTCCAGCAACTTCTCTCTGGTAGGGATGAAGCAGATGATTCTTACTCTACAGCCGGCCCCGCTCTGTTGCAGTTCTTAAGGATTGCACAGGAGGTCATGAGCCGTACTGCTAGTAACTACGATGTCTCCAGACTCCTTTTGGGCCTTTTGATCACGGGGGTTGCAGGCATGCTTGTACTTCCGGCCACATACAAGGAATGCACACGTCACGGATCTTCCGGGATGTTTTTGATGCTCATGATCATCACCTGTGGGATGATGATGTTCGCGAGTAGTTATGTGGAAGAAGAGCAACAGTTCTGGTATTGGATCTGCTCAGGATGGATTGTCTACCTGCATATCAAATCACAATCATCTGCAAAACAGATCTCACGCAAACGCTATGGGCCATTAGTATATTGGTCTGGCAAATGCATCATTCTTGTGCTCGCAATCACCCAGCGGCTCTTGCGACGATGGAACCAGACGGGACAGAAATTCGCGGCCGAGCCTGATATTGCTCGCACGTTCTTTGCACGCCACCCAGAAATCTTCTGGGTTTTTTTTATCCTCACGTACGTGGATGCCGGTCGTCATCTTCTCAAGAGTGTACCAATTTCTGGAATATTGAAGCTCGGTGCTTTGGCCCCTGCCGTGTTGGCCTTGACGTTCAAATTGCACTTTGTGACTTCGGAATCCCCCGAACTCCTTGATGGGACGTTCATCTCGCAAATCATGAAGGAATGGCCCTACAGTCTATCATTGGTTTTACATGCCCGGCTTGTGTTTTATGGACTTACTGTCGTTGTCCTGCTAGCGCTCTTTGTTGGAAAACTACCAAGAGTCCTCCCCCTAGGTAAGCCCACACATGCCCTAGATTGCTTCTGAGCTTGGAGTCGTTACTGACCAGAATCTTTAGCACCACATGATACAATCCATGAAGCTCTGCACATCTTCCTAATGACGCAGTCCCGTGCTACTAACGTCCCCCTGTTCCTGATTTTCCGAATCCAGGCCGGCATTCTCTCTTCCATGAACCTCACAGGGATCGAAGTGACAATCACAACCTTGATCTTCCAATATATGACGTTCTTCGCGTTTGGTGGCTCCAATGCAATCTCCTCTGTGGACCTTGCCAGTGGATATAACGGTGTTGACAGCTACAGCATGGTGCTAGTGGGAATTCTCACCTTCGCTAGCAACTGGGCAGGACCTATCTGGTGGGCTTCACAAAGCCATCGTCTCCGGCCGAAGAATCCTGCAGAACAAGACCCCTCGGCACTGTTGACCTTCCATGTTGCCATGTCCTTGATTTCTGTCATGGCCGCCTGTACAGCCCTCCGGACGCATCTTTTTATTTGGACCGTTTTCTCCCCCAAATATCTCTACAGTATGGCGTGGGCCACTGCCAATCATGTTGCTGTCAATTTACTGGGCGAGGTTATTTTCTCTCGATCTCGATCGCGATGTCATTATTCATAAAACAATATTTAGCTTGGAAATACATGTCTGGACATCCCCTTGGAATCCGTAAAAAAATAAAAATAAAAACATCAAAGTAACACCGTACATAAAGGGGTATGAGATTCAAAACAAACCGCTGAACAAATCATCGATAGCGTTCTTCTTCTTTTTCTTTTTCGATGTACTTTTTGAAACGTCCTCTGTAAGCTTTTCCGTGGGCTCCGAAACCTTGGAGGCCTTAGAGAACTTGGAGACTTTGGAATCAGAGGAAATCTTGACCGGAGGGAGTGGCGCATTGTCAATCCGACGAATGCGTTCCCCAAGATCTTCCTTCGCGACGATAGGAGTAAACTTGGACTTGCTTGTCACAGGTTGCTTCAGCTCACTGATCCCGGTGATTTTGGACAGTCGTGCCAACGCAGCTAGAAGCACGATTCCAAGGGTAGAGAACTGGTTATCGGCAACGACAGTTGAGAAAGCGCTAAGAAAACAGTTAGCCTGATTGTTCAACGTAATACCTTTTTTCTTTCATACATGTAACACCTTGGGATTACGTGCGTGGCCAGGTGAGATTTTACCCCCGATCGGGCGAGATCCAAGGTGGCGCGTTTCAAGATGGATAGCCATTTCCACCATTTAGTTCGACGATGTTGATTCTTGTTGCGATGAAAGATCAGATGCAGTATTGAGTGGACTGCCAGGATTTCCTTGGAGTCCATGTTTTGTGTGAGATGGAAAAGATGAAAAGTGGGTTTTCCCGTACTTTTTACTGGACTCTACTATGTAACTACTAGACACTCTACATAACTACATGTAGTACTATTGAGAAAATATTTTCATTTGGCTAACTAACTCCCCAATGTTTTTGAATTTCCCTGATTTTTGAAAAGAGCAAAATAGCAAAAGCAGACGCAGAAACGAAGAAACGCAGAAAACGCATGAGAAAAGCAAAAGCAATTAATTGTGCTTGAGCACAATTAATGGCACAATTCCGAAATAAAACAGTCGCATCGGAATGTGCGATACAAAGGCGAATCCCAAGTAGCAAGCAAGGATTGTGCCTAGAGGAATCCGTTTGTGGTTGTTTCCTCTGAGTCCCTCTGTCGTGTGGTAGAGGAACATTGGACCGAAGATGAAAGGAAGAAGAGAAGATAATGCACTCAATTTCAAGCAAAGCCTGAGGGGACATGGTGTTCCAGAACCTTACTGCGCAAGAGCCCAGTTGTCAACGGCAGTGTAGCGTCCATTCTTTAGGTAGCATCTTGTTGAATTGAATTGAGTTGTTGATTTTGGATTTTCGAAATTTTTTTTTTTTTTGAATGTGTGGTTGATTCTTGCTGATATTCAGGTGTTGAACAAGACAAATATGGATTGTCGGATAATTGAATGATTAGACAAAGCGCGAGACTCAATGTCTGCTATTTTGTAAGTATGAAACAGCCTGATCAGTCAGAAACTATTGGCTTACAAAATGGCATGTCCAGTTGCTGCGGTAGTTTCCCTTCGCATAACCCTTGTCGGAAGGGCTTAATTCCTCGGCGAGATGAATTGACGGTCCTCTGCCTGCATCGAAGAAAATTCGCCAGGGGCGTGCTGGACCGATCGTCCACCAGAATGCCGGGGAGTGCGGATTGATGCTCGACCTCGTGGAGTCTGGCTAAACGACTGGGATTGGGGCCGGGTGCGGTTGGCCCGAGGAGTAGTGGGAGCTCGGTTCCGGGGTGCAAAGAGGCCTGTGAAAGAGTCAGAACATGTCCACAAGCCAAAGGGCACGATGTCCTACCTTGCTGAGTGGTGCTAGCAACCGAACGACGGAGCTTACTGGCATCATTGGGGCCGGGAAAAGCTGCTTCGGTACCTGCACGAGGGCCGTCGATATGGAAGAGCTATATTCAGTCAATATCGGCACCGAAATGGAACAACAAAGGATTGAACTCACTCGAGGTCGCTCTTCGTGAGGACGGGTCATAACGTTACTGTTTCGGAACTTGTTCACGAGAGCCTCCTTCCCTTGAAGTGCTATTGAAACTTGTTAGACATCATTCCCATTAACCGTGGATGGGACACAAACTGGCATAAGAAACCTCAGCCCTCTTCTCGGAGATGCAGTCGGGCCTGTAATTGTCTCGAGTCAGCGAACGTGCACTTTTCTGAGGAATATAGGGAGGAACATACCAAGTCTTGCCCTGTCGAGCGTGCACGAGCTAAGGAACACGGGTAAGTACATGTCACACACTGACCCAAGATATAACTCACATTTACAATGTCAATTGCCTGTAGAATATGTTAGTAAATTATCGAACAGAAGGGATATCAGGTGAAAATAGAGCAGCAGAAATACTCACATCACCGAAGTTCATGAACGCATAACCAACGCTAGAAGGACAAAGGGTGAGTAACATCGAAAGTCAACAATGAGCAATCAGAACATACTTGCAACGATGGGTAAAATCTGTGGATCGAATTAGCCTGAACAAAAGAATAAATCATCGAGAAGCACTTACCCATGCGCAGGTAAAGAAAGTCATACTTCCCATAACTGGACTCGTCCAGGATACTTTTCAACTGGTCCTATTGAATTATCACATCGAATTAGCCTTTATGAAGTTTTTCAAACGAAGATGGAGATAATCATACGGAGGTAATTTTGTTGGGAATGTTGCGGATCATGACCTGTAACGAGACATGTAAGAAATCAGTCTTGAAGCAGATGGAAGAAAACTTACAGTGCTGCGAACATCTAGTCCCTGCCTGATTCGATCAAGATTGATAGCATGCTCTGCACTCGTCTGACCCTCCTCGGAAGCCGGGGAAATGTCGACCTTCTCCTCGATCTCGTTCTCCTTGGACACGAGGTGATACGGAGTCACGGGGCTCTGAGGGGAGCCAAAGCTGGTCGTTCGAAGGTGAGCCAAAACAGGAATATCTTCTGCTGCATCAATGGAGACATCGAAACGAAGACTCTGCAGAAAACCAATATTAGCATTGCACTTTCAAGAACACAAAAGCAAAAAGAAGAAAAAAGAAAAAAAGATACATCGAGTCTAAACCCACCGAGACATGAAAAAGCATAAGCCGCATGACGCTTGTTAAAATATTCAACTTGGTATCGACTCATGTTCGTTCCATTCTCGATAAGTTTGCAAGAACGCAGGGTGCCAAGAGAAGAGACAACATGTTTAACAATCTCTTCCATGGGTTCCATGAGCCACTGGCTTGGAATGGTGTACACAGAAAGCAGGAATGCACCATCCCGAGGAACAGTAACAGAGGAAGCGGCTCCTTTGGTGCTATTGGTTCCATTGAAATTGGCAATTTCTTCCAAACTGGCCGGGAAGACACGCCAGGTAGGACGGGTTAGGCGAATTTTGTTCATGGCCTGGATCGCCTCTCGAAGATCCCCAAACGAAAACGAGAACACGCCCCTAGCCTCAAGGTGCTGGAGACAAACTTCTTCAAGGGAAGGATATTCATCAATCTAAATAAAATCAGCTTTGATCTGTCCCATGATCAGGTTAGTATAGCAACTTACGGGGAACAGCATAACAATAGACCGGTGGGAGGTGTCGAGAGGGACATGATGCACGATAAAGCTTCGATGTTTTTCAGTAGCATCATGAGTTCCACCGGAGAGGGATCTCGAAGTGGCGATACCAGCTTGGTTACCCCGGGAAATATGAGTCCGTGCATCCGTAGAGGCAACATTGGCATCTCCAACGGTGGGATCGTAAGTGGTTGCGAACAAGCTAGAGATGAAATCCGGGGTTGGGCTGTATTCGTAACTGATTTCTCCACGGGATGGTGAGTACCGAGCATTGGCAATACCTGTCTGGACAGGAGAGAGCGGGTACTGAGATGCTCCCAAATGCGCCTGAGTGTGAGTTGACGAACGAGGCGAGTATTGCATTTGCTCCAGCGACCGAGATGCCTGGGCATGGGAAGGCGAGTATCGCATTTCACCAGGACCAGCATTTGCAGGAGACAATTGAGGTGAACCAGATGACTGTTGGAATGGGCCGATTGGTAAGGTGTGAGCTGCATTAAAAGTGCGACCCAGCTGAGGAGAAACAGATGAGTACTCGTTGGTTGATGTGTGAGTGTTTACCTGGTCAAGGGCGAGGGGTGTTGAATAGGCATAGCAAGCAGCAGAGCTTGCAGGGGTCGTTTGAGACGAAGGAATGCTAGGCGCAGACCCTGTCTCATTGAGCCAACCGGCAAACGGGTCACTGCAAAGCATTAACGCATTTAGGGCTTTTTGGTCTTTAATTTATAAACGAGGACAAATAACTTACCCAGTCGGACGGATTGTCGCCATTCCGGAAAAAGAGGCAGGGTTTGCTCGGTGAGCAATAGCCTCATATCCCATCGGGTTGAATGCAGTAAGCTGCTCCGATGGCGATCCTCGAGTTGGAGAAAACCTCTCCATGTTCAGTACTGAAGTAATAAGAAGGTGAGCCGAGAATGGACAATCATATTTAAAAAGGCAAGTCGACATACAAGCTAGCAATCTTGACCTATGCAGCGAGGGGGCGAGGGGCGCGGTGTGCGCTTGGTGATAATATGTTAGCAGCTAGGGTGCAGATGAAGAGCGACGGGAAAATAAAAGAAATGGCTGGCGAAAGAAAAGATCAATCCTTTTATATTCCAAGGCCGACTCATACTTCTAGCATACTTCTAGAAGTATGTTGAATGGACCAATAGAACGACTCGATTGCACAAACAACACGCGACTAATCGATCAATCGATCGAGGACTCCAGGGCTCCAGGGCCAAATAAACCCCAACCAAAACCCAACGAACCAACGAGCCAACAACGGGGTTGATGTTCAACCAGATCCTTGGAACATTGAACCATGTTTAGGCGAGCGCGCGACTTAGTAGGTACTAGGTAGTAGATCTCTCTAGCTGCCTTCACCTATCATAGTGTCTCCAATTTGCTTTCATGCTAAGCCTTGTGGAGTGACTCACTGTGATCCTGTATCAGCGATTTATCACAGTAAAGGGTCGTGCTAGGTAGGGGCTTGTTCACGATTACAGACCAATCATAGAGGAAATCACTGCCATTGAATGCATATCTTTCTCAATGAGAAGTTTCAATGTGGCTAGTCAGCAGGGTGGGAGACCACTTGGGCACCCGTCTGCTCTCTGTCTTACTGTACAAAAGAAGGTGGGTTATCAGACGTGTTGTTTTCACGGTCTTTCAGTTGCTGAGAAGATAGATGAAGTTATCATAGAAAGATGCTAGAGAACAAACAAATTAGATCATTGTGTATTTAAAAAAATGGGAAAAGGAAAGGAAAGATAGTCAAATGGTCAAATTGGAAACTAGATAGATGTCTTGCGCAGGTGCAATTGTCAGGTGCAATTGTCGTATACATTTTGATATTGGCCAAGGTTTACGCTAGTTACCACACTAACACAAATTGGGATTAGCCTTTCAAAAGCGGTCATGCACATAGATGGCAGAACATCTGACCGCCTATGGACGTCAACGAGTACCTATAAGCTGGAGATCATCTACCCTGGATAACCTTGGAAGGTTGCAAGCCTAGCAAGTGGGAAGTATTAAGAATATTTAGCTTCTCTCTGGCTATGAAGCTGAGCCATTATGCCACCCATGGCTCCAATACTCAATGAGCCACATGTCTTGAATCAAGTGAGCCAGCCTATACACGTTAGACAATGTACCCAAACAAAACTGACTTCTTGTCCTTAGATTATCATCTCACCCTCTGACACAGACTATCTGGACCAGCTCATTCCATCAATCAGAGACTACAGTGTTGGAAACCGCACTCCACAACTCCTGCAGTCACTATCCCGGTTCGCGGGCGACAAGGAGTCCGAGATCGAAAGCATATGCAACACAAATCACCAGGAGTTTGTCTCATCTGTCAATTCACTGCTTCGGATTCGAGAGGGGACAGTGAGCTTGACAGCAGAGATTCTGGACTTGAATCAATCCATTCAAACCAGTACCGAACGCTTGGCCGAGCAGAAGAAAGCGCTGGTGGAGTCGCGTGGCCACCGTCAGAACATTGATGAGACCAGTCGCGCCATTCAGGATTGCTTGGAGGTGCTGCGTCTAGCTAACCAAGTCCATGATCTCTTGGCAAAGAAGAACCACTACGCAGCGCTGCGGGCGCTGGAGGAATTGCAAAATGTCCACTTGAAAGGGGTGACGCAATACAAAATTGCAGTCATGATACAACGCTCAGTTCCAGCGACACAGAGAGCTATCGCGGAAGCGGTGATGTCAGATCTCAACACCTGGCTTTACCGCATTCGAGAAATGTCTCAATACCTTGGGGAAATTGCGCTCTTCCACACAGACCAGCGGAAAACAAGACAAAAACAAAGAGCGGAAAAAATCCCTTATCTAGAACATTTCAATTTAAACTCTGCGATCGAATTGGTGTCTGATGAAGATGAAGAGTATGATCTGCTCCAGAATGAAGATCTTCAAGTCGACTTCACACCGCTGTTCGAGTGCTTGCATATCCATCAATCTTTGGGACACATGGATAAATTCCGAATTGAATACGCGACCACCCGTCGAAGACAAAAAGAGCTCTTGCTTCCGTCTTCTATCACCCTTGTTGATGAAGATGGTTCTAGTTTGCACAATCTCTTGGAAGAGATGGCTGGATTTGCTATTGTTGAACGGGCCACAATGAAAAGAGCCCCCGATCTCAGGTCATCTGTTGATGTAAGGAAATATATCCCCCTTCCCTTTAGCCTCTTTTCAAGGAGAGGCCTTTTAGGAATGATCTGACCTTATGCCTCCAAATAGATTGACGAGCTGTGGGATTCGATGTGCCAAGGGGCTGTAGTGTTGATATCAAAAGCACTTCATGAAGTCGACAACGCTGAAAGCATTCTCAACATCAAGAATCTGATTGCTCTATTCATGCAGACGATGAATGTGGGCAGGCCCATCTCTATTATTTTGGGCTCAAAAGCTGATATCCATTTAACAGACGTGGAACTTCCCTGTGCGGGTCTTTGATGACTTCTTGTTGACACTCTTTGGCAAATATGCCGAACTTCTGAAGAAGAGATTCAGTGATGATTTCCAGGAGGTAGGGCTATTTCCCCTTATCAATCTATTACAAATACTGACACCGCCAGATTGTATCAACGGATGATTATATGCCCATGCCCATACAGACCCAAGAGGAGCATGACAAAGTCCTCAACGTTAGCTGGTACAGCCCCGAACAACCTCGTGAGGAACAAGTGTAAGTCGTGAATCAGCCTGGGCCGATTGGTTCTTATTCAGACCTAACTGATCATTGTAGATTCCCATGCATATTACCATTTTCCCGAATGTACCCGCTGTGTTGTATTGATATCCGGAATTTCCTGAACCAGTTCTATTTCTTCGCAAATGATGGTTTCGCAAACACAAATGTGATTGATGAAACACTGAAGAATGTGAGTTCGAACCAACACGCTCAAGACCCATGACTCGGCAACTAACCTAGCAGGATCTGGATGACCTCCTTTCCCAAAAAGTCTGCGACACCTTAGTGGAGCGTCTTTCCTCGCAATATCTAGGCCAAATCGTTCAAATTCTTATTAACCTGGAACACTTCGAGCTAGCTTGCCGCGAGCTGGAACTCTTATTGGCAGCAGCCCGATCACAGAACTCCACCGGCACCTCAATCGCGTTGAGGGCTACTGAAAAGTTCAAAAGTAACAAGAAGGCAGCCGAGAAGCGTATCTTCGAGGTGGTCAATTCCAAAATCGATGACCTTATCGAGACAGCAGAGTACGAGTGGATGTCCCCTACACCTCCCACAGAGCCGAGCAATTACATGCAAACCTTGACTCGATTCTTGTCCAACATCATGAACTCCACGTTGTTAGGTCTACCAACGGAAATCAAAGAGCTCATCTACTTTGATGCCCTTAGTCATGCTGCTAACATGATTCTGGTGGGTTTTCTATGGACCCCAATCGGTTGAAACGAAGACTTACTGACTGACCATACAGGCGCAACCATTGTCCCCAGATGTGAAGAAAATTAATCCCAACGGAGTGGCAGCATTAGCAAAAGATGTTGAATATCTCGCTGAATTTGTGGACAGCTTAAATGTCCCAATTCTTCGTGAGAACCTCGACGAGTTACAGCAAACCGTGCAATTGATGCAAGCGGAAAGCGCAGACGAGTTTTACGACATTTCCACGAGGAACAAGAAATATGGACGAGTTGATGCCATGCAAGGGCCCATTTTGCTTGAAAAGTACGGTTCGAAATCTACATCTCATTGCCCTAAACCACCTACTAACTGGTTATGAATAGGCTTACACGCAGTGTTCAAGCCCCCACCAAGGTGGATAAGTTTGCGACTCTTTCATCACGCTTCAAGAAGACTGGATAAATCTATGAGTGTGTTATGTGTATTGCAATATTTAACTACAAGAATAGTCGGCCGCTTATGCGGCCTTGTCAAGTATTTTTCTTGGTAGTCTTTTATTGTAGTCTCCTCAGGTAGTCTTTTTAGAAAGTTTCTTAGATGGTCTTTTTAGATGTCTGCCCTTTCTCAAGTTGTTAGCTATACGACGGAAAAAGGCGGGAAAAGACTCAATTTGCGAAATGGACTTTTGTATGTATAACGTTTGACAACAATCAAGTACCTCTTGGGACCTACAAAATACTGCTACAAGCATACCCAGCATATCCAGAACTGGTAAAAAGGCCATATGAAACAACTTTGGACCGTCTGGGGATGTCTCTTGCGTCTCAGCTTGTAACCTCAGCTTACCCCAAGACCCGCAAGAGATGTAGATTTGATTTATTGCACGAGATGTAGGAATATACATGATACTGCTAACAATCACCAAAGTAAATCACACACAACCTTCCGAATGCCACATGTGGTTTCCTCTTTTCTAGCCAGGATCAAAACTCATTCCGCACATAAGAGATTCCCGAAAGATCAGAGAGATCGGGAGTCCTCAGTCATCACTCTACAGCGTTGCCATTGCCTTGCGTGGGAAAATAAAACAGTAAGAGAATCAAATAAAACAGTAAGAAACAAAAAAGAAAACGGACCAAAATTCGCCTTAAAACGCACATGAACTAAATTGAAATGACGGACTAGACCATGTGCTGATAACACGTTCACTTGACGATCAAAATTAGCTTGTCTACAGAAGATGAGATATATGACAACTACGTACCTGCTGGGGAGGGAGATGCGGGTAGGCGTACATCCCCTCGAACATTTGGGATTGAGGCTGACCATATGCCGCAGTTGGGTCTGATTGAACGGCTCCGGGATACATGGCAGGTTGCGGGCGGTACTCCTGGTCCTGAGGCATACCGTGCTGGCCAAGAGAGGCATAGTCGGCAGGGCCCATGTGCTGATGCGGTTGAACTCCATGCGGGGCAGGGGGCAACTGACCGGGGGCAGCAGAAGGTCCTGGGGCGGTACCGGCAGCCTGACTCGACCGCTTGGCATGAGAGGTTGCCTCCTCGCGGGGAACTATGTCAATGAGGAAGTCAAACATGTCCGATTTGGACAGAGCGGCCGCAATGTCGGATCGCTGGAGGGTACGCCGTTTGTTGTCCTCGGCGTGAATCCAGGCACGCATAGTCAGCTCGGTGATGAAAATATCACAGCCCTTAGCGAACAAGATGGGTGCTTCTGCAGATATCATCTTGACCTCCGGGTCCGCCTTCATCACCTTCTTGATACGTGCCAATGGCAACTGGTGGATCTTGTAGTCGTGGTTGTCTGACTCCAGGTGGTTGATAACATGCTGCCAGTAGGTCGTCAGGATATCACGCGCGGTTCCTTGAAGTCCTTGGTTTACCTAGTTCTGGTGAGTATCAGAGCTTAGCATTTGTCTGGTCATCTCGGGAGCTTACGTTGGCCCAGGTACCAGTGTACAACTCGGCAACTGGCGCATAACCTTGTGCTGACAGCTATTTTAACCCAACTTTCATTAGTTGCTCCTCAAGACATTTCGCGCGATCGTTGTAGAGAGAAGGAAGGTAAAGCCCGCGCGGCTCACCGCAATAGACATACCGCTGCGCTAGCACCTATAAATAACAGCTGTTGTCAGTCTCATATTTAAATCGATTGTGTAGCCGAGATAGAGCAACTCAGAGCAGCCCTTTAACGGAGCTCAGCGCGTAGTTTTGGCGCATAGCTTTTGGCGCAATGATAAACTTGGAGCTTACCATAATGACCCCCATTTCTAACATCATAAATCGGCTGCGGCTGCTGTCTGCCCTGCTGTGCAGAGCCTTGAGGGGATTGCTCCATGCTCGCTTTGGGGTTGAGCTATATGGGCCTCTGGGGGGTGTCGGGCAGATGGTGCACTGGGAGGGACCGATGCGACGCGACGAGGTGTGAGATGCGGTGAGGTGGGGTGGAGGACCTAAGAACAAAGAACGAATGGACGCGATACAAAAACGATAATCAGATGAGTGTCACAGTCGAAGACTATGTGAAGCTTGTTGTGTTCTAGGTCAAGGCGCGTTGGGTGCCAAGCTAGAGGAGCTGTCTGACGTTCCGGGGCCACCCCTCCGAGCTCGACGTATAATACCTATACAATGTACTTATGTATGGATGTGATATAGGGGTTTATATCTAAGATGGTAAGACGAGTTTCTCTTGCATATAATTAGGTCTAATTTAAAACAGTAGAAGGGTAAAGCATTGTATTACTCTATTGCAATAATAGTAATGTACATTTGTATATATACCCTGGGAATATTTAGACAATTACCTCTGATACCTCTGATAGGTGAATTCCTTGGGGCCTTTGACTTTCAATACATGAGCTGTACCATTCAGGCAGTACTTTATCAGTAGGTACTAGTACTTAACAATTTCATACTAAACAGGCCTATTTACTTGTACCTAATACTGATAGCAAAAGTATATAAAGTCACATGACCCACTCCACTCTCGCACTAAGCAGAAATTTCTCATAAACGTTTGTCCGGTCGGGAAGCAGCAGAGCAAAGCTAAGAAAAAATATAAATTCTCTCCACTCACCTTAAACCTCTTGAGCTTTTGCTACCCTCCCTATTCACCAGGGATGGCTGACTCAACATGTGTGAAGGATGTTCAGGAAGACCTGACTGATGATCAGATTCAGCAGTTGCTTCTCGAGGCAGAGACTCGACTGAAGGCTCCCAATGCGCTAAGCAACCAGGTCGATGATCTGGCATCTCTTAGGTATGGAACCCTTTTTAACATTAATCGGCTTCGAGCTAAGCTAACCCCCTCCTAGAATCCCGAAATTGTCACCTGGATCTTCGCTGGAATCATACATTCGCCAGGGAGATGATGTTGCTATTGTCGATGCTGCAAAGATCACCGATCAAAAGCAGAAGGAGTTGGCCAACTCTCTTCGCGCGGTTGAGATCAAGAAAGTGAATACCGTGAGTCACCAAATTACCTCCTTGCTATCTTTCCTTTTCTTTTTTTTTTGCTATGAGGAAAATATTCCCAACGCGAAGCGCTTGATGCGGCGTAACCAGTCCGTCTTGGGCTGTGCTGCACCAGTGAGAGCCTTTTTATTCATAGTTACTCTGAGCATTCATCAAAATTACTATCTTTTCTCGGTGTGCAATATTTGTGGGCAATTGCTAACAATTCTCGCCTTTGATAGGACAAGCCTACTGCTGGACCCGAGTGGTTCAACCTCCCGAAGACAGAAATGACCCCAGAGCTTAAGAGAGATCTGCAGCTCATCCGGATGCGTTCTGTGCTTGACCCCAAGCGTCACTACAAGAAGGAAAATGGCAAGGCCAAACCGCCAGAATATTCCCAGGTTGGAACCATCATCGAGGGCCCTACCGAGTTCTTCAGCAATCGTATCACCAAGAAGGACCGCAAGAAGAACTTCGTCGAGGAAACATTGGCACTTGAGCGTGGCACCAAGCGCTTCCAGGCCAAATACAGGGATATTCAAGCCAACAAATCAAGCGGAAAGAAGTCCTTCTACAAGGACCTGCAGGCAAAGAGAACCCGGAAGAACAAGTGAAATTTCGGTCTCATACTTTCGTCAAAATATGCCAGGGATGGCAACCACCCCATGTTGGCCATGGCCGACATCTCAACAAAATGGCCTCTGCTAGGATCCTAATAAGCTGGAACCAGATCTTCACGATCTGAGATCATCATATGCATTCTGTGTAATGCCCAGTCTTTAAACACTATCAAAGACATCCACAAGGGTTTCGACAACCAGTTTCTGGATCGATGTCAATTTCATCTTCTTCCATGGATTGATGCAACAATCTTACCTGCATGTCAATGGCTGCCGCGCGACCGGCTTCAAGAACCTCTTCGTGTCCTGCCATGCCCTCCTCTAGAAGAGCGCTCAGTTCGCCTGCTGCTTTATTCTGGAGCAAATCGTCATCTCCGCGAGGCACAGGAGACAACACTGCCTTATTAGTGACCAAACTAAAGGCAAGCACTCGCAGGCCACAATGTCTGGCGGTGACAATCTCCGGTACTGTGGACATTCCAACCACATCGGCACCGAGCATTCGAAGCATCCGGCTTTCCGCTCTTGTCTCGTAGCTTGATGCTATCAGAATGGGATTCAAAGGGATTGTGTTGAGGTGACTTACGTGGGACCTCCGCAGAATGCATATACACCCTCGTGCAACTTTCTCTTGCTTTCCGGCGATATGACTTTCTTCCATGACTGATGCACATGGCGACGGAGCTCAAGGTCATAGGCGTCAGACAGGGGTGGGAAGCGCACTCCAAATTCATCTTCATTGGCTCCTCTCAATGGATGAGTTCCTGCCAGACCTGCGAGGAAGAGATGCTGTAACCCGATGTTAGAATAACCCCGCTCGATAGCCTGATTTCTCTTACATCATTCAATAGAACGATATCCCCCACAGCATACTCAGAATTCAAACCTCCGGCCGCATTCGTCACTACCAAACATCATTATTTCTCGTTCTGTAACGTCAATCTTCGTATGACTAAGGATCCTGTAGAACATACAGACAACCGTATTCACTTGCAACTGCTTGAACACTCGAATTGGGAATGCCACCTGATCAATCGAGTGCCCCTCGTAATAACTAGGCCAAGGTCAGCTGTGATATTACAAGCAGAATGAGGGCTTAAGCAGGCTTACTGAGCACGGCCAACCATCAACACCGCAGGGATTTTCTGGCCGAGAAGACCAAAAACCAACTTTCCAGCATGACCAACGACTGTGGAATGTTAGAACCTCTTCCCTGACCTCAGGAGTTCGAAGAAGATGACCAACCTGTTGAGCGAGGGAAGTGGGGGATGGATGCATAGTCAAATTCAACCCGTGACTCGGGTTGAATGGTATCTGCAAGCCCTCCTAGTCCTGAGCCACATACAATTGCGACCTGAGGCTTTTGCAGGGTCTCTGGCAACTTGGTTCTGAGATAAGAAACCGCTTCATTGGCCCGCTCGAACGAGGACAGGTCTATCTTTGTCATTTTTGCGGTATTAAGTGTCATATGCACTCAAAGAAGTAGAATATATAAAGTGGAAAGTAGGAGTGAAAAAAAGCGACGTTTCCAAGTGCGGAGTCACATGGTTCCATTGCCCAGGTCGCTAGTTTGGCGGGGGCGCAATGATCCGATTTATAGAAAACATTTGAGATAAGCAAGTCTTGGAGGATAACCATGTCTAATAATTCATTGAATTGAGTATCCAATCTAAAAGCCTGGAGTAAGAGAGCTGATCACCTATGAGGGAACACATCCATGTATATAGACGGCAACATGGGGAATTGGTTGCACAAACTCGTTTTAACCATAAATTGGATCAATCATGAATCCCTAAGAGCTGGTCTATCTGCCTTTTGTCATTATTGTATCAATATGTAGTATAATAGTGTGATAGTATATCACTGTACAGTGTAGCTTCAGGCGCTTTCTCTATATCCAAATTCCCCACTCACCGCCCTGGACTCGCTCCCCGAAAAAACCCATCCGCTAACAACAACGGATCTTCCTCAAAATCACGATTAACAATGTTCTCATACACATCGCGCTCCTTAATTGGAGTGGGCAAGCACCTCAGGGTATGTTCTCATTTTGTTTGATTCATAATTCCCGCGCTAACAGCTCCTTGGAAGGCGCCTGTGCCATTCCGCTCTCTATCATCCCCAACCCAGCCAACTCCGCCGGAGCAAGAGAAGACACCCGTTCAAGACCCAACACCCACCTCTACACCAGTTGCTCCTGCAGAAGCTGCCCCTGTGGCCCCTACACCTGCTGCTACGCCCATCGCAACTCCCGCCGCTACCCCCGCCGCTACTGCCCCTGCATCGACTGCTCCAGTAGCGTAAGATACTCCTCAAATCTAGTATGATTTGGGTTTGTCGCTAATTGAGACAATTCAGATCGACGGAAGCCGAGCAAATTACTGAGCCTAGCGTGAAAGAATGGTCAGTATCCAAGGCAATTGGCTCAATGCCAAAATATATCCAAGATCACTGCTCACAGTTTGGTTAGGTCTGAACGGTTAGGAGCATTCGGTGAGGAGAGCCGACTTCCACGAAGTGTGCAAGCTATATACCTACGGCCTTTGCGGAGGAAGGTGGAGTACGGCCTCCCAGTCTGCGACCTTCAACTGCGGTCATACAGCGTCCGTAACGTGGAGTTCTTCACGGACTTTGCCATCCGCGCTGCTTACTACCTCAACCTTCCCGTGTCCGGGCCTGTGCCTCTTCCCCGTATCGTTGAACGCTGGACCGTACCCCGAAGCAACTTCGTACACAAGAAGAGCCAGGAAAACTTCGAACGAATCACCCTCCGTCGACTGGTTCAGATCAAGGATGGAAACCCACAAGCGGTGCAGGCATGGCTTGCATTCCTCCGGAAGCACGCCTTTTATGGAGTCGGTATGAAGGCAAATGTCTGGGAACACGACAGTCTCGGTATGGGTTACACTTTCTTTTCTTTCTTTTTAGCCTGGACGGCGTCTTCCAATGATCAGGGTACTAACCGTCATAACTATACTAGATGCTAGTAAGGCCATGGATGCTTCTGTTGCCGAGGTGGAAGAAGCTCTTCGCCCTGAGCTCGCGCAATTCGGTCAGCGGAAGGATAACTCGGCCCCGGGCACGATATTCGATACTTTAAACAGTGAGCGATTCGCAGAGCGCAAGCGTCTATAGATGGAAATGGTGATCTACTGCTGAACTTGTATACCCGTGAACATCCGGACTTGGTGTCTTTGCTGCAGGCGCTGTTTTCGTTATATTCAAAGGGCCTTTTTGATCTAGGCCATATGTATTTTACTGTTTTACTATTCTCATTTAAGCCCAGATGAAAGGAAGCTTATGTATACTGAAATGGGGTTACTCGCCACAATTTGATCCCCAATAGACGTGCTACTACTTTGATGATCTGTGGAATATGCGGGATTTGCCCATCATAGGTGTAGACAATGATGTCCAGTAACTACAGTTTTATGCCGACCATTGTACGATATCGATCACGTGATGCATTTCGCGTTTCGCGTTTTTCAGGGTCATTGAGGACTGCGGCAGTACGAAGTGATTGCACCTAAAATTTTCCATTCTTGTACCAATTTGGTGTTTGTTGGAGATGTCTACCAACGCGATGCGTCATGAATTTGCCTCGCTGAGGTCATTGCGTGCGAAACACCTCCGTATCCGTCCAGGCAGGCTCTCCCTTCTCACAAAGAGATGTCATCGATGTAACAGCTCAAACACTACGCCGCCAGTGCAAGAGCCCATTATATTTTCTGGGATCCAGCCAACTGGCGTGCCTCATTTGGGCAATTATCTAGGAGCTTTACATCAATGGGTGAAGCTCCAGCAAAATGCAGCCGAAGGAACCAAGCTATTTTTCTCTATTGTTGATCTACATGCATTGACAGTACCGCAAGACCCAGCCCAATTGAAGAGATGGAGGAAGGAGGCCTTTGCAACGTTGCTTGCTGTTGGCCTGGATCCTAAGCGCTCTACAATATTCTACCAGTCCGGTGTAAGTTCCGTTCCGCCTTATAGCTGTCTGCTGCTAAGCACAATAGTGACTTTATATTAACATTCATCAGGTGCCGGCACATACTGAGTTGATGTGGATTCTCAGCACGGTGGCTTCCATGGGGTATCTGTCGCGTATGACACAGTGGAAGGTGAGCGGCCCTGTAATTTTTATATACAAAGAGCCTTCTATTGATACTCTTCAGAGTAAGCTACAGTTGCCAGACGACGCCACGCTTGATGATTCGACGGCACGGGCACAACTGCGACTTGGTCTTTTCTCCTATCCAGTACTACAAGCTGCTGATATCCTTGTGCATAGGTATGTTCCTCGTCTACATTAGTGCGTTCTTTACTAATGATCACCAAGAGCTACCCATGTACCGGTTGGAGAAGACCAAAGACAGCACCTGGAGTTTTCCAGATACACTGCGAACAGCTTCAACCACCTCTATGGGCCCATATTCCCCATCCCAGAGGCATTGATATGTAAGATAACAGTTGCTAGAAGGAACAGAAGGAACGGAACAAACACTAACTTGACCAGCCCCTGCCAAGCGAGTGATGTCCCTTAAGGAACCCACCTCAAAGATGTCTAAATCGCACGCCGATGAGAAATCCCGGATCATCCTTACCGACTCGCCGGCCGAAATCCACAAGAAGGTCAAGGTAGCCCTGACAGACTCGGAAGCAAGCATCACTTACGACCCGACCTATCGGCCTGGGGTGTCTAATCTCATCGAGATCCTAAGCCATTTGGAAGGTTTATCATGCGAGGATATTGCGGCTGACTTCCACAGTGCAAGTCTCCGATCACTCAAGGAACATGTTGCTGACCGGATCGCCTATCATTTGCAGGAGATCCGGGATCGGTATATTACAATCATGGAGGATAAGACTGGGTACCTGGAGTCAGTGGCTGAGGAGGGAGCCGAAGCAGCGCGGGCCAACAGTCGGGTGACCATGCAGCAAATTCGGGATGCGATGGGTCTGTAAGTGGCGAGTAGGCTGGGCTGTATAGTAGAGTAATTTGTATAATAAGATGTACAAAATATATAACCTTGGAAGTATCAGGGTCAGATGTGTGTTAAAGCCCAAAGAGGGCTGAAGTGGAGTCCACCGCGTCATCACCTCCACAATGTAACTATGGATGTCGTGTACAAAGTACGTATGCTAATTAACTCTAGGGATTTCTAAGGCTTGTTCTGTTTGAATTTCGAGGGGTTTGAATAATTTGAATTAAAAACTTGGATTATACTGGACAAACTACATAGTATGTTTCATAAAAAGAGGGTTATACGGAGTACTGTGGTGTAAGCTGTACTGTTGCACAGGTTTATGCTTGGTGACGACAGCACTTGCAGACTTCCGCCTAGAAATATGTTCTATACAACCCTGGAATACAGATCTTGTATGGTTCTGCTTACTAGTAGATTAGGTATACCTAGGTAATCCGGTTGGAGCCGAGTACCATAGTCATCCCATTGGCACGTCCACTGGAAAGACACTCATTTCTCTTTTTCCCTCTTTACTTCTGCTTTTGCTTTCAAAACTTCTTCCAATTCCTTCAACTTGCTCCAATTCGCTACTCACCAATCCAACCCACCCCTAGGACATCATCTCTTAAGCAGTTCAAAAACAAAAAAAAACGAATACCTGATCTCTCACTTTCGGACCGAATCGGGGAGGACAATCGTCGCTATCATGAAGAATGAATGGATCCTATTGGTCACTGGCCTGGTGCTGCCAGTCTGGGGCATAACCCTTCATCGAAGAGATAACCCCGCCGTGGTGCAAATGGATATTCAACGAAAGGATGTTCTCGATCCCGTCGCTAGAGATCAAGCAAGGAGGAAACGTTCGACAGTCAGTTCGGCATTGGACAATGAGGTACACATGATATCAATTGATGTTATTTATAGGTATATAATCTTACGGAACTTTGATACTAATGTTTCTGCCTAGGAAACTTTATACTTCTGTAATGTCACTCTGGGTACCCCGGAACAGAGCGTACGTCTGGTTCTCGACACTGGAAGTAGTGATTTGTGGTGCAATACGCCAAATTCTACTCTCTGTACATCCAGCATAGACGCTTGCACCGAATCCGGTACTTATGACTCGAGCTCTTCCTCTTCATATTCATTTGTGAACTCGGACTTCAATATCAGCTATGCCGACGGATCCGGCGCCGTCGGAGATTATGTTACCGATACTCTTACCATCGGGGGCACAACTATTAAAGACTTCCAATTTGGCATTGGGTTTTTGTCTGGCTCTTCAGGTGAGTGATCTGTGTCCGGTATAACGATATAACGCCAATTACCACAGATCTGACATGGATGTTTGTGTACAGAGGGTGTGCTGGGTATAGGATATACTGCGAATGAAGTTCAGGTTGGCAGAAATGGAGAATCGGCATATGCCAACCTACCAAAGACAATGGTCAACAAAGGAATAATCCAATCAAATGCCTACAGTCTTTGGCTGAACGACCTAGATGCGAGCACAGGCTCAATTTTGTTTGGTGGAGTCAACACTAAGAAATACCACGGCGCCCTGCAAACAGTCCCCATCCAGAAGGTCCGCGGACAGTACTCGGAGTTCATCATTGCCCTCACTGGATTTTCCCTCACCAATTCTTCCGGCAAAAATACCTATTCTTCGAGTTCCATTCCCGCGGGTGTGTTATTGGACTCGGGAAGTTCTCTTACGTACCTTCCGGACCCCCTTGTTAAGGAAATCTACGATGACCTCGGGGTATCTTACGAGTCGGACAGTGGCATTGGCTATGTTGAATGCAGCATGGCAGAGCAGAGCATAACCCTCGGTTACACGTTCTCATCCCCGACGATTAACGTGGACATATCAGAGATGATTATCGATGTTGGCGATCTCTATTTCCGGAACGGCAAGCGGGCCTGCATTTTCGGTATTGTTCCTGCGGGAAGCAGCTCGGCAGTCCTGGGAGATACGTTCCTTCGCAGTGCGTACGTGGTATACGATCTCGCCAATAATGAGATCTCTCTCGCCAGCACCAACTTCAACACCACGGAGAATGATATCTTGGAGATCGGGACTGGCACTGATTCCGTCCCCGGCGCGACTGCAGTCTCGAACCCAGTGACTACCGCGCCAGTCGGTGGCGCCGCTGCTCGCATCGGAGGTCCGCATGGAGGAACCGGCCTTTTTGGCACGGCTTCTGCCACTGGGAATATGGCCATTCCTAGGGCGACCACTATGCCGAAACACCTGGCTGTCGGCCTTGCCGGAGTAGGGGCTCTTCTGGCTCTTTAAAATCTCTTTTGGATGATCACGTACTTTTTCTTCTTATATATATGTCTTGCATACTATGGTGTATTTGGAGTCTGGGAAGGCTATACCTAGAACTCTTTTCCGTCATGGTCTCAATTATCTAGTTCTTATGTGTTATGAAATGGACAGCGAATGATTCAATATTTGATCCAAATATAGCAGTGTACATGTGGAGTACAGTCTGCATACATATCCTTGTAATCTTTGTGTTTCTAGCACCTTTTGCACTGCACATAGCTTTGACTGATCACACATGACGGTCCAAGAATATAGGCTATAGGCCGCTAGGTCCTGACGCATATGGATTCGGGGGCCTGGTCCAGTAATGGACACTGCAATCGGATTCTGGACAGGCCTTCTATATGAATGCTTTCTTCATCATTTGTGTAATATGTACATGTCTAACAGGAGAGATACACATACCTAGTATTGGTTAATAGGATTTTTTATTGCAATTTTATAAATTTTGATAGAAATTAGATGTCTTCTTTCCCTTCCAAGGCTATAAGGTTGATTGATACTATTGGTATTCCTTCCAAGGTTCCTCATTTAGATGTATCTCTTTCTCACCTTCTCACCTCTTCCTCACCTCTCACCTCTCACCTGTCCAATCATCAATATCAACTCTAATCCCATGCATTCCACTCCAATTTACAAACCCTCCACACTTTCATAACCACAAAACCCTCCGAAATCAACATTCGAAGGTCAACAATCGCCACCGAACGTGAAGAGGTGCCATATGCGGCAGTTACGAAGGACGAGCAGACTGTCAATGATACTTTATTGCAATACCTCAGAGCTCTTACACTTCCGATCCCCAACGTGCAGTGCCGGTAGTCTTCCAATCGTCCTCCATTTGATAAAGTTGATTTCGGCGAGAACCAGATGACCGCACGCGTCGACGGCTACCTAAAAGGAATTGGCATAAAGCACTAGTGAGATCCTTGCTATTCTCGAGGCAAAATCTCGACGGCGAGACCAAGCCAAACATCCGAAAATTCTGTGGCAAGAGACAGCAGAAATGGTTGCATGGATGATGCATGATCAAGAATGGCGGGGAGTCAATCGCCGGTGAGTTAAGCCTGATCATTTCTATGCCCAATGATTTTGTTCTGACGACTGCGTAGATGTCTGCTGATCTCACAAGATCATCAAGGCAAACCATCAGGTTTCGCTTTTTATATACTTGGGGGATCCAAGACAACTGGTGTGCGTGCAAACTGCGATATACAAGAACCAGGATATATGCTAACTGTGAATAATTATAGTGAGCCCAGTTGCCACTACCCAGGGTAGCCCTGGTGTGGATCCTGGTCTGCTTTCGAGATTCGAGCATGTCTCTCGGTCTGAAGCAGTGCGCATGCTTCAGTTCCTGGATAAGATCAGGAACGATGGCAGTGCCTGCGAGGACCTCGTAGGGAAGCTCGCAATTGAGGACGAACCAGGCCTGGTGGAAACCACCCAAAGCCCCTGTAGTTCGCCAGGCAAGGATGGTGATAAGATAATGCGGGAGTCGTAGTTTCTTGGGCCGGAGGTTTTTTTTCTCTCTCAATCATAAGATAATGCAGTCAAGGTGTATGATGTCCCTTCACTTCCCATGTAAAACATAAATTTTGAGAAATATAAACGCGTTCTCTCAACACTTGGATGAAAATCAAGTGTATCTAAATAAGGGATTATACATCGTAGAGTTATACATGTAATGTTAGTAAAAATCGGACCCGATTGTCAACCCGTAGATTTCTATGAAAATCCATGTAATAGAGTATCGCTCAAATAGATTTAGAAGCATATAAGATGAACGCTGGATATTAGATCCAATTGCTTAAGGGACATCTCTCCGTTTATTCTATTGGGATGATCTCGTAAAGCCGACTATATCGTTGAACGCAATGACTTTTACGGTTTTTACGCCTTTTCATCTATAAAATTGAGGGAAAAGATAATCCAAGACATAGTGTGTGTCTTTTAAATATACAAGGACAGAGTATAAAAGGCTTTTCTTCCATAACCTTGGAATGTTCAAAGCTTCTTTGAAACCAGTCCTATTCTGATCAAAATGATGTTTGAATGTGTATTCTCATTACTTTCTCACTTCTCATCACTTTGCCTTCCATCGTTTATCATTTACCTCTAAATTAAACCCCATCATGGATTCCAAATCTCAAGATAAAGGCCATGTCCTCAACTCCCTCTACCTAAAACTCAAGGACTATCAGTCAATATTTCTCACTGTCGAGGACCTCGAACTTCTCGGGGTCAAAGCTTCCCAAGTGGAAATATCCGATGGACAACTGCAATTCGACCCTTGCTTCTTCCAGCCACGCCCAGAGAAAGTTCTTGACAAATATCCAATCGGAAATCCAAAGGACATTGCTATGCTTGATTGTCCACCAACATTGGGTAACTTTCTAGACGAGGCAAAAGAGCTCTCTGCGGACGAAAAGGAGCAACTTACCATCGCGAAGTCTAGGCATAAAGCATATTATGAGGAGTTCACTCGTTGCGGGTGTTATGACAATGCTCTAGAGGTTTATCGATATGTTGACTCGCAACTTACCCAATTACGAAGGAGAAATCCAAATGATGCGAATTTTCGGGACTGGTTCTATCTAATTTCCCTCACTGATCTCGAGTACTTTGAGTAGGTGGATATTCAAGATATTACTTGGTAATAGTGCTGACCTTTTCTAGCTGGGATAAAGGGTGGAAGGAAGGTGACCCCCCGTCGTACGAGTATTTCAGACCCAATCTTTTTTGGAAAGTGCATTGCGCTTACCGACCTTGGGATAATGGCAACCGCACGAAGCCACATTGCATTATTGCAGCCTCCTCGAGTGCATATGCGAGTGCCGAAGATCAAAGTCTGACCATTCATGAGCTGAAGGCTATTGTAAATCTAATGCTCCCCCGAGTGGTTCGTGGCCGATTTTGCAAAGCCGATATCCATCCCGTAAGTCTTTCTCTATAATTATTTCAGGATATACTAATATATGATTAGCTTTTGCTCGTTTCATATACTGGCTTTAAGCACGGCCGAATCATCCAAGCCTCTTATGATGGGAAGCAACTCACATTACAATACTCAGAGCTGTGGAGCTTCGAGCGAGAGAAGACTGCACCGGTGGAGTTATTCTGTCGTTACATGTTGAGTGAAGCAGTTGGTCTAGAGACTTGTACGCTTTGTGTCGGATAAATATGATTTTCTGGTTGGGTTGTTTTTGCTCAAATGGCTTTTTTTTTTTTTTTTATAGATAGCTAGGTAGCTAGGATACCTTGACTCTTAGCTAAGACACATTGCTATTATGCCCAGATGATTTCCTTGTCTATCTACCGGTCTTTAATTTGTAGATCAAATCCATTAGATGTTAATATTTCCCGAGGCCTTTCTATAAATGTATATATATCTTGGCACGGGTGCAATCTCTTGGCACCAAAGTTCCTTGACTACATGTAACCACCCGGGTATTCCCATAATGCCCCGAATCCCCTTTTCTGTCATCTTAAAAGCCCAACGGGAAAACCATCTCTTACCCATACTCCTCAAAGAATGCCGCACAATCGATTCTGCTCGCAATGAACTTCGCTGGCTACGCGAGCGGGCAGTTCGCGATAGCCAGTCTCTTTCAACAAAGGCAGGATGGAGAAGCCGATTGAGATCTATGTGTCAGATGCGATCTAGAGGATATCCTCTCCAATATATCCTTGGAGATCAACCATTTGGCGACTTGGAAATTCTTTGCCGAAGAGGCGTTCTGATCCCAAGGTCTGCCTATCAGATATTTTTTCAAAAGCGACATCTCTTGCTGACAACATTTTGTAGGCCAGAAACTGAATCATATACGTATCAAGCGGCCAAATTAGTCCGTCAAATGGCCCTGGACCGTAATGACAAGTCCAAGTCTCCCAACCAAGCGAGACCCTTGCGCGTCATTGACCTTTGCACTGGCACAGGTTGCATACCACTTCTTCTGCACGCATTACTTGCTCATTTCCAGCAGCTGGAGATAACAGGAGTGGACATCAGTCCTACGGCCTTAGGCCTAGCCCAGGAGAACCTTGAGCATAACCTGCAACTGGGCCAGTTGGCACCCAGCGCAGGCACAGACATTCGCTTTTATCGCGCCGATGTCCTCGGACATGGCAGCGATAATTTAGTACCGTCCATTGAGTCAATACTCCAGACTCAAATCCCTACTTTTGGAGCATCGGACATCTCATCGCCCGACCAAGAAAGCGGATATGATCTATTAATCTCCAACCCGCCGTACATATCCCAAACGGAGTTCCACAACGGCACCACTGCGCGCAGTGTACGGCGCTTTGAGCCCAAGCTGGCACTTGTGCCTCCATACTCGGGCTCCGTGATGGAAGACTGCATGCCTGAGGATATCTTCTACCACCGCATTCTCATTCTGGCCTTCAAGTTGAGGGCCAAGCTCACGGTGCTGGAGTGTGGGGATTCTCACCAGGCCAATCGAGTGGTTGCTCTTCACAGGCGACTTGCTTCTGCTGAATCCGGGCAGTTCAGTGCGGAGGTCTGGCCGAGTCGAGAGCAGGATTTGGCTGATAATGGGTTCCATGCGACTGACGGATCGCGAGGTGTTATCATACAGACTCTCCGATAGCGAGCGCAAGGTGGCCCATCATTTGAGACAAAGACCAGGTGGTCTGGTCTATTAGGTTTCAGCCGGCCATTCTTCCAAGGGATGCCTGAATATTCGGGGCTACAGTACTCCATGGAAACAGAAGATGGGTATGGATTATGATTCTCAATATTAATTTCGATCTTATGAATAAATTTGAACTAGTTTGGTATTTCTTGTTTCATAGATTCAAAAGTATCGTACATATATGCATGGATTTTCGGCCTTGGAGGAGCGTGCCAACATATAAGAAAAATGTACAGGAAGTCCTAAGAAAGACCTAACCAAGTGCATTTGGACCGCCCATAGAGAAAAAGAAGAAAAAAATGAACATTATGTACAGAATGGGATAGCCACCAGCAGGCAAGAATGCTTGCGGTCAGTTTTGGCGGTATTAAAACAGATAAGAAATGCACAAGGTGAATTAATGTACTTGAATTAGCGTAAAAAAATGGCAGAAACCACAGGGAGATGCAAAAGTCCAAACCCAAAACACAGGCAAAGAAAGCGAAGACATACAGCCCGTCTATCGAGGAGCTCTGCAATGGGTCTCGATTGATCCCTGTAGTCTAGAACCAAGTAAGCATTGTGAAGTCGTGAAGAATATGATGCCGTCATTTCAAAGGTTCTTCTTCTTGTCGGAGGAGTAGCTGCGATCGTCTTCGCCCTCGACATCCTTGAGGATCGACTCCATCTCCTTGGCCTGTCGCTTCCATTCCTTGTCACCCATCTTCGTCTCTCTGCGGAAAAGCTCCTCGTTGGGCTTGCGGTAGCTGCCACCCAGTCGGTCCCACAGAGTGGTAAACTGTCCGTAGTTGTAGTTGAAGTACAAGTGGTGCATAGTGTGGCAGGCCGCACCGTTCACGATGGGGCTGTTGGCAACGTACTCGCCGTCATGAATGAAGACGGTCCAGAGGTTGATGAAGCCGAACAGGAAGACGTAGGCGAACTTCTGCAGGGGGAAGATGAAGGGGAAGACATGGTACGGGACACTCTGGGACCAGCCATCGAGCGGGTGGAAGGCGTGCGAGGCATAAGGGCTCGGCATGATCCACTTGTGGTGAGGCTTGTGCAGGGTCTTGTAGACACGGGGGTGGTGTAGGCCACGGTGGATCCAGTAGATGAAGAAATCGGTAAAGCAGATGAAGAAGGGGATTTGGATAAGACTGTAGAACGGGAAGGGCTCTTCGGCGGTGGTGTCGTAGAGTTTGGCGTATCCGCGGACCTCAAGAACGAAGAAAGGAGCTGTCAATAGGGACATTGGGGGCATTGCGCCCATGGCCTGTCTGATCTCCAGACCGATCTGGTTCTTGAGGAATTTGGGGTGGTTGTAGGTTGTCTTGTCCCAGATAAAGACGTATGAAAGCGTTGCGACCAAGAAGTAGACGAGAAGACCAAACAGCCTAATTGAGTGTTAGTTCTTGTGCCGGAAAAAGTGGCGATATGGAAATCTCCAAGGAACTGGCGCATTACCAAGTAATCAGGAAAAAGCTTGTAAATTGACGGTAGATGTTGTTCCGGGGCCAAGCACTCAGGTATGCGTATTTCGAGGGTTCCAGGTAGATCATCTGTGTAGCCTGTTCATAGACATAGGGTTCCGGACCGAAAAGGGCCATTGAAGTGTTTGCGGCCGCATTGACGAAGGCCGGCAGCGAGACGGACGAGGAGAGCGAGGTGGGGAGGAGTGTCGAATAGAGGCGATCACCAATAAAGGTGTCCCATAATTCCAGAATGATATCCATGATTGAGGGCACACAGATAAGGTGGGGGCAAGGAGAAAGGGAAGAATGGGAAGTACTTGAAGGAACAAAAAAAAAGGAGACGGCGAATAACAAAGTAGTCACACCAGCGCGGAACCGCCACAGCCGTTGCGATGCCACCTTTTCTTAATAAGCCAATTGATCCAGGGGCAATGGTCTGATGCGGGATTATTATATAGTTATCTTATGAGTGGATAGTGATATAGTATATAAAAGTACTTAGATTATTTTTTTATATATTTCCTTGTTTTTATCACTTCATATATATCTTCATGGTCTATAGAGTACTTCGTATGTTGTACTAAGAAAAAAAAAAGAAGAAACTTTAAAAGAACCCCTGGTTTGCCACAGTTGATACCTTAATGCCTTAATGCCTTGATGCCTGGAGCATAACCTGGCTATCAGGCAATAACAAAAAGTACATTACACAATCCAACCTTGGAATCATAAAGTAACCACAATACTAAATTGGTACTGCACGGGCCAGTTCCACTTCTTCCCGTACTCAGAGGTACCTCCACTGCCCGCACTTGCGGGTGTAGATCCAAGTATTCCGTATTCCGGGTGTCATTATTGGAATAATACCAGTTTTATGCGAACCTCACGATCTGGGCCTATGGATGTACATGTACGCATTTAGCCCTCTACAAAAGTACTTTGGACCAAAAATCTTAAGACATTTTGATTTAATTTCTGCATGTAATTTCTGTATGTAAATAGTACTCATCTAATTGTCATCAATTGATCTTGTCATCTTCAACATTTTGCATGTTATACAAAGTATTATATTATGTAGATTAAAAAGTGTGTCTACGGTAAAACCCGCGCTTCTCGCCTATGACCTCGCTTCACGCGTCAACCACTGCCGCCCTCCCCCCCAAACTCAAACCTTCCCGCTTTAAAGTGTCATCTGCCAGCCTCTTCCACCCCTCTTACCGCTACACCCCCATTCTCATCTCCCAGCTTATATTGTATCGCCCACTATCGCTGTGGCTAGCTGCGTGGTGCTATCCACCAAGCATTGAAGCCTCAGTGATCAAGATCATTGAGTCCAGGTCAAAACCTTGGTTGCGATCCCATTCGCTGACCTAGATCTGCCCTCCGAACATCGCTTTTGCCCTTCTGTGACTTGTGAAAAACAAGAAGAAAAAAAAAATATCTTACCATGTACAACGCTCATCGCGGGATGGTGCCTGCTCCCAACTCCCGTCTGACGGAGTTGCTGGATCAACTGCGCCAGGAGTTTGAGAGCCAGTCGCGAAACACCGGTGAATTTGAGCATCAGTGTATGTTACTATCCCTTTCAACATATGGGTACCCCTCTCTTATGCTCAGGCCATTTGCGCCTTGAGCTCCCTTCCCCTTATCCAATCATTTCATACAAGCAGCTGCCAGCTCATTTCCCCAGTGACTGCAGCTCCATGGGTTCTGACATTCGCTGAAATGTTATCTAACTGACAGATCATGCAGTGACTGGTCAACTCCAGGAGATGGAGATGATCCGTCAGAAGGTCTATCAACTGGAACAGGCGCAGATCAAGATCAAGCAAGAGTTCGTCCCTTTTCCTTCTTGAGAGCTCGAATTACCTTCTCTGACATCGCCTTTTTTTTCTCTTCTTTTTTATAGCTATGAAGCTGAGATTCGAATGCTGCGACACGAACTTGAATCGCGTGGCGTGCAAACCATCCCTTCCCACATCGGCGGACCCCCTGCGGCTCATACAGCTCCCTCCCAGGCTCCCCCACCTGCCTTGGGCCACGGCCCCAGCAATCTGTTTGGCGGTATCATGACCAACCCACCAGGTAGTGGCCCCGGTCTTGCACCTTCCCTCCCCCAGGATCAGCAGCCTCCCCAGCATCCCCTTCAACAGCCTGCTTCGGTCGCTCAGCCTGGCGCACCGCAACCCCAGCAGAGCTCCTTTGGAGGATATCCGGCTGGCGCTGCTGTGAACGGTATGTCGTTGTGTTTATGAAAGTCGTCGCCCAGTCCGCTGACCCGTTGGATCGTTCCTCTCCCAGGCTATGGCCCGCCTCCACCTCCTACTGCATCCCCAGGCCCCGGTAAGGGCCGTGGTCGCGTTCCCCCAGGCCCCGGTACCCCCCAGCAAACGCACATCGCCTACCCGGATCCTCGTGCGTCCCCTCAGATCCCTCGCCCGACTCCTCCGAACCCCCCTCTCGGCCGCACAGCTGAACGTCCGGGAAACATGCTGGCAAACTGGAACCCCGATGATTTGCCTCCGTCGCAGAAGCGTGAGGGTTCCGATTGGTACGCCGTGTTCAACCCCGAGGTCCAGCGTGTCCTCGATGTGGAACTGGTGCATCATTTGAACCACGATAGCGTCGTTTGCTGTGTGCGCTTCAGCCGTGATGGCAAGTACTTGGCTACGGGCTGCAACCGCTCGGCTCAAATTTTCGACGTGACCACCGGTCAGAATGTGGCCACTCTTCAGGATGAGAACGTCGACAAGGACGGCGACCTGTACATTCGCAGCGTTTGCTTCAGTCCGGATGGCAAATATCTTGCGACTGGTGCTGAGGATAAGCAGATTCGGGTAAGTTTCAGATTATATGGAACTAAGTAGCATGTGGGAAGATCACTGACTGAATCGTGATTGGCTCTAGGTTTGGGATATCAACCAGCGCACCATCAAGCATATCTTCAGTGGACACGAGCAGGACATCTACTCTTTGGACTTTGCTGGCAACGGTCGCTTCATTGCCTCTGGTAGTGGAGACAAGACCGTGCGCCTTTGGGATATTCTCGATGGCAAGCTTGTCTACACCCTTAGCATTGAGGATGGTGTCACTACTGTGGCTATGTCTCCAGATGGCCGTTACGTGGCTGCCGGTTCATTGGATAAGAGCGTGCGCGTTTGGGACACTACAACTGGATACCTGGTGGAGCGCCTGGAGAACCCAGATGGCCACAAGGACAGTGTCTACTCGGTCGCGTTCGCGCCCAATGGCCGTGACCTTGTCAGTGGCAGTCTGGACAAGACTATCAAGCTCTGGGAGCTCACCGTTCCCCGGGGCATGCACCCTCACAGTGCCATCAAGGGCGGCAAGTGTATTCGTACATTCGAGGGCCACAAGGTTAGATCTGAGATTACTTGAGACTGACAGAAAAAAGCTAACTTTTTACAATACAGGACTTTGTTCTCAGTGTGTGCCTGACACCCGACGGTGCCTGGGTGATGAGTGGTTCCAAGGACCGTGGTG